GATTGAGTGCACCCTCAGCAACATTGCAGACAACACCAAGCTGTGTGGTGCAAGTTGGCACCTAGAAGGAAGGAATGCTGAATGGATCAGGACAGTTTTGAGAACTGAGCCTGAGCTGGCCTCATGAAGTTCAACAAGGCCAAGTCCAAAGTCCTGCACCTGAGTCAGGGCACTCTCAAGCACAAATAGTTTGGGCAGAGAATGGCTTGAGAGCAGACCTGAGGAGAAGGATTTGGGAATGTTGGCTAATGAAAGACTCAACATGATCCAGCAATGTGTTCTTTTAGCCCAGAAGGCCAACTATATTCTGGTCTGCATCAAGGGAAATGTGACCAGCAGGTTAAGGGAGGTGATTCTGCCCATCTACTCTGGTCTTGTGATGCCCCATTTGTAATACTGCATCTAGTTTGAGGGCCCCCCAACAGAAGAAGGACATTGAGCTGTTGGAGTGGGCCCAGAGGAGGGCCATAGAGATGATCAAAAGCCTGAAGCACATATCCTACAAGGAAAGGCTGAAAGACCTGGAAATCTTTAGCCTGGAGAAAAGAAGACTCCAGGGGGACCTCATAGCAGCCTTCCAGTACCTGAAAGGGGCCTACAGGAAGGATGGTGAGGAACATTTTATAGGACCATGAAGTGGCAGAACAAGGAGAAATGGTTTTAAATGGAAGAGGGTAGATTTAGACTAGATATTAAGAAGAAATTCTTCACTGTGAGATTGGTGAGACAGTGGAACAGGTAGCCCAGTGAGGTTGTAGATGCCCCCTCTCCGGAAGCATTCAAGACCAGGCTGTATGTGGCCTAGAGCAACCTAGTCTAGAGGGAGGTGTCCCTGTCTTTAGCAAGGGGCTTGGAACCAGATGACCTAGAAATCCTATCCAATCAAAACCATTCTATGATTCTGTGATTTTATGATTCTATGATTCTATGATTTATTATGTTCAGTAAGTCATGATGACTGTGAGTAACCAGCCTTGACCTTAAACACCAAGACATTTGCTAGGATGTAGGATTTTCCAGGTACAGCAAAAGATTTTTAAGTGCTTATTACCAGAAAAGTGGATGTTCAGAAAAGTTTTTTAAACTCTGATTTTTATTTCTGTTCTAATTTTCTGCATGTAACATATGCAGGTCTGAATTGTTGGTTAATTTGGTTTGACACTGATCTGTTGCTCTGCTTCATTTTTCTTCTCATGAGAACTGGCTTTGTAAACCCAATAAATTTAATTTCCCAAGCTACTCTTTGACTTGTGCACTGTTAACATTAAATTTTTATTGAGGAGTATCTTTAACCTTTACTATACAGAAATATATATAAAACAAACAAACAAAAAAAACCGTTCATGTATTAAGCATGGAAAGAAATAGAGCTATTTTTTTTTTGTGTGAGATCATCTCAGAATACACCTTGGCATTTTTTTATTCTTATAACACCTTATCTTTCCACATCATAATCTCAAAGAATTATTTCTACTTTTCTCTTTCATAATAATGGTCACCTCTTCATATTCTTACTAACTGTATGATTCAAAATCTTCAAAATATCATTACACATAATTACAACTATTACTGTCAAGGCAAGTGTACTTGTGAGAGGAATAAAAACTTCTCTCATTAAATTCTTCTAATAGCTTCAGTCCATATTACTAGAATCCAAAAACCAAAGTACTGCAATTATGGTATTTGTGCTGGTAGCATAAATAAATGAAAGTTGAAGAAGTACACACTGCTTATCTGAAATGGTAATGATACTCTGAGTCCAAACAGCCATCAAAACAGTGATTTTTGCTGAAATACATTGTAGCTTCTGATAATCAAGTTGCAGAGAAATTGAATTTCCAACGCCCTTAACTAATCAGTGATCTAAAAGTAAACAAAACTATCCTGCAAACGCATATTGATGTATTTTTGCAGTAGTAGCTAAAAGTTTTGAACACAGTCCATCCTGGAAGATTTTCTGTGGTTAGCTGTAATAGCAGTTGAACCACCCTTTCACTTAAGTTGTGCAGACTCCTCAGTGTAGCACAGAGTGACAATAAAATTGTCAGAAGTCAGAAGTACAGAGAAAACCTTGAAGCCATAAGTACCTTCTTTTTTACTAATTTACTTTTAGGATTTTAAAGTTGCTTTCATTTCTCCCCACAGAACAGTTCAGAGTTCATCATATTTGGTGCTTACAGTTCTGTAGGACTCTTATCTGGATGCCTACCAATGCTATGTTAGAATTCTTTGTTTACTGCATAGTCTATGATATTTCATATAAATGCATACCTGGTCATGAGTTAAAAAATGAATAACATTTAATACAAGTGAATTATTACCCATGATAGGAATTCTCATATCACATCAAAGTTATATTTTTTCTGTCACAGACATTTTCTATCACATGCCAATTTGAAGCTTAGAGTTTGCTTGCAAATACAAAAAATGAACAAACAAACAAACAAAAAAGCAAAACACCCCACACATACCAGACTTAGAGAAAATACAGATACTTAGCCCTGTGACTCAGCCCTGTGACCCACAGCTCTGCCTTGGTTACTAGTGCAGAGCCACACTCTCATCTTACTTACACTGGTTTCCCCTTCAGTATCTGGTCTTGTGAACTCATATAGCAACCGTTAACAGGATTGTCAGTAGAAGATCCCACTCATACCAGTAGCTGATGTTAGGATTTCATTTGCTCCCGAAGTTGGCATCCAGTTCACTCATGCAACTGGTGCTCTAGACTCAAAGTCTGTAGGATCCTTTCAAGTCCAGAGACATACGTACTTTCAAACTACAGGCACTAGGATTCTGCTCAGCCCAGTTGCTGACACCACGATTGCAGAGCCTGCACCAGTAGCTGGCATTATTGTGCAGAATTTAGGAGAAAAAAAGAAAACCTGATTAAGAAACATGAGGTAATGTATAATTTAATTACTTGTAATCATTATTTATCATAATAGACATACTGGTTCATAGATTAACAGAGAAGACTAAAAACATGTATTTCTCAACAGTAAAGCATCTCGTGGTCTGGAAAGCTCAAAGGATATCTGCAAGTGTATAGTATTGAATTTAGTTTCTGTTATACAGTATTCTGAGTTGAGCCACTCCATTAAACTTGTTGATTCCATATAATTTTTCTTTCAATATTACCACAGGAAATAAAACAAAAACACCTGTGCAGCATCTGAGGCATGGATTCATTTATGGCAGGTTCTAACATCCCTTGTATACATTCACATGTTTTCTCTTGTAACTTTCCCATGAATCATGAGTGTTGCTAGCCACTCACTCTTCCTCTAATCAGGGTCATTATCATGCAGGTATCATGCATTTTACTTTAGTTTTTCTCTCCTGGAGCCCTCCTTAGTTCTCAGCATTCTTTTCTTATGCCATTTTTCTTGCTCTGCAGATTCTTCTCTGAATATTCTTTCTTGAATCCCAACACATCTGTAACAGAACTGTCTCAAAGTACATACTTACTTATTAAAAAAGGATCAAGAATTATTAGGTTTTATTTCTATTTACTTATAGCTTCTTAGATGAGAAAGAATTGGAAAATATTAGTGAATTATCAAATAATAAAATTTCATCAGTGTATTTCTTTTAACCTGATGATTCCTATCCCTATCCCTAATCCTGTGGAAAGCTCTTTTATTCTCCTAATGACCATCGTATCAGTGCACAATGGAAGACTCTTTTCGTTCTTGGTGTTATCACTCCATCACCAGTATTTGAAAAAACATCTTGGTACTAGCCAGATATCTGCACTTTGTTATAAGATTAAAAACTTTGCAGAAAGATATAGCAAGCCAGTTGTATCAAGTATTTGCTGCCTATGAAGACTAAACCCTTTTTATCATAGAGAAATGTATACACCAGTTAGCAGAAACCAGAAAGTAAGAAACCAATTAAGATAATAACCTAATTCAGGTGCATAAAATATCTGTACCTGTGCCCATGTAGGTTATTACTGTTGTTTCATACAGTCATAGATTGGCTTGATTTGAAAGTGACCTCAAAGATCTAGTTTCAACCCCTCTGCCATTGGTAACATTGTCAGCCTCTAGATCAAGCAGTACAACAGGTGGCCCTGGGTCTCATCCAGCCAGGCTTGAAAATCTCCTGGAATGGGCATCCACAGTTTCTTTGGGCAGCCTGTTTTGGTACCTCATCATCCTCTTACTGAAATGCTTCCCTCTGACATCTAATCTAAATTTCCTCTCCTTCAGTTTAAAAGAATTTCTCCTTATCCTATCAGTACCTACCTGTGGGAGAAAACAAAACAAAACAAAAAAACGAAACAAAACAAACAAAAAAAAAAAACAGGAGAGGTGCTTCATTCCTCTGGTCATTTTTGTGGCCATTCTCTGGACCCTTTCCAAAATCTCCACATCTTTCTTTGCTGGGGGCTCCAGACATGGATGTAGTACTCCAGATGAGATCTCATGAGGGCAGAGTAGAGGACAAACACCTCCCTCACCCTGCTGACCACTCCTCTGCTGATGCAGCCCAGGATACTGTTGGCATTCTGGGCTGCAAGTGCACACTGCTGACCCATGTTAAGTCTTTCATCTGTAAGGACTCTTAACTCTTTCTCAGCAAGGCTTCTGACAAGTTCTTCTTCCAGTCTTCATACAAATCTGGAATTGTCATGACCCAAAACCAACACCTTGCACTTGACTTTGTTGAACCTAGTTAGGTTTACATGGAACCACCTTTTGAGTTTATCAAAGTCCCTCCAGATGGTATTTCTTCTTTCTGCTGAATCAACTGCATGATTCAGCTCGATATTTTATCTGTAAACTTGCTGAGGATGCACTCAATCTCATCATCTCTATCACTGATGAAAATGTTGAAGTGTACTGGTCTCAAGACCCCTGAGGGACACCACTCACCAGGCCTCCACCTGGACGTAGATGCATTGACCACAACCCTCTGGCTGCTATCTTCCAGCCAATTCCTTATCTACTGAATAGTTCACCCTTCAAATCTGTATCTCTCCAATTTAGAGACTAGGAATTCAGGACCATTTCAAAGATCTTGCAGAATTCCAGATAGTTGATATCAGTTGCCTTCCGTTTGTCCGCTCATGCTGTCATTCCATCATAGAAGGCCACTGGATCGGTTACACAAGATCTGCCCTTGGTGAAACCATGCTGACTGTCTCAGGTCACCCGCTCATTCCTCGCATGCCTTAAAATGTATTTGAGGAGGATCTGTTCCATGATCTTTCCAGGCACAGAAGTGAGAATCACTGGCTGGTAGTTCCCTAGGTCTTCATTTCTCCCTTTCTATAAGTGATATAGTGATGTTTCCCTTTTTCCAGTCACCGAAGACTTTGCCTGACAGCTGAGTCTTTTCAGATATGAAGGAAAGAGCCTCAGCAAACACCTCACCAGCTCCCTTAGAACCATGGGATGCATATTGTCCAGCCGTATGGACATATATATATACATTCAATCTCACAAGGCAGACTCAGACTTGTTCTGTTGTTACAGTTGGGAGAATTTTGCGCTTCTAGCTCCCATCTAGAGTTTCAGGGATGTGAGAGACATAAGGATCCTGGCTGACAGTGAAGACTGAGACAAAGAACTCATTAAGTACCTCAGATTTCTTCTTGTTTGCTGTAGCCAGTTCTCCTTTCTTGTTTGTATTAGATGGGGTACATACTTTCTGGCCTGTCTTTTATGACCAATGGAATAGAGGAGATTGAGTCCCTTCTTGTCATTTTTAGTATCTCCCACCAAGTTCAATTTGATCTGCACCTTGGCTTTTGTAATCCTGTATTTGCATGTCCAGACAGCATCTTTGTATTCTTCGTGGGTAATGTGTTCTTGTTTCCTCTGCCTGTGTATGTCTTTCTTATCCCATAGTTTGACCAGTAGGTCTTTGCTGAGCCATGCTGTTTTCCTGCCTCCTCTTTTTTTTCTTATACTGGGAGGCAGAGAGTTCTTGCACTCTCAAAAAGACTCCTTAAACGGTTGCCAGCTTTTCTTCACTCCTTTGTCTCTAAGGGCAGCTTCCCATGGGATTTCGCCCAGTAAATCCCTTAAATAGCCTGAAATTTGCTCTCCTGAAGTCCTGTCCTGACTGCTTTTTGCCAGGCTCGTCCTCCTCAAAATCATAAATTCTACAGCCACCACAAATCCAGCACAAACCCAGAGCCTGCTTCATCAGAATATACTTTATTTTGAATTAATTCAGTTGAAATTCTGTACTTGCAACATTTAAATATTTCCTGTTTGGGAAATAATAATGCTTTGTGTAAAAGTCTCTCCACTAGGGGCCGCACAGAGACTGTTTAAATATTACTTGTTAAACTGGAATAAAGCATTAGAGAGTAAAAATACAATCAAAACCCAACATATTGCTTTGATCTATGATGAGGAACAGTTTAAACTCCTAGAAAAGAGTCGTTTCTGGGTTTTGTAGCTGCTGTTGCTTTGCTTATCTTTTTTTCTTTTTTTTTTTTTCATTGTAAATGTAAGTAATATTCACATTTTTTTTTCTTTTTAGATTGCATAACCTTTACTCATTATGGATTAACGAAAAAGAAGTCTTGTACATACTGCATTATTATAAATTTTACTGCACAAAAAAAGTGCTCTTCTCAGACTAGGGAAGACTTTTTTTCTCATTAAGTTCAGAGGAATCACAAGACTCCAGGTTTTGATGTGTTCCCTGACTTGGAACTCCTTTTTGATGCTTCCTGTGATGTTCTTGGAAGTTCTACTGAATAAATAACAGGGAAGCAGTAATGACACCATCCTTATTTCAAGGGAGGGTGGATTAAAAAAAACAAAAAACTCTGGTAGCCTTGACTGGTTCTTTGACCCCTTGCCCCACTTACTGCAGAAATCTTGTTCCACAAAGTGCCAGTACTTCCTGGGACAACCACCACTCCAGTAGTGAGGGGAACTGAAGCCACTGGCCTGGGGGTTCCAGGAACATGAGTAGGAACAAAGGATACCAGAGAGTCACAGATGGTTTTCTTTGCAAATTACTTTTAGAAACATTAATAGGGAGGATATCTGAGTTAAATGTACCCTTGTAACTCAGAAAGCAAGTGGTATCCTGGGATCCATCAGAAGAAGGGTGGCCAGTAGGGACATGGAAGTGATTGTCATCTATTCTGCCCTTGTGAGGCTCCATCTGGAGTACTACATCCAGGTCTGGGACCACCAATATAAGAAAGGCAGAGCTGATGGAGAGGGTACAGAGGAGGGCCACAAAGATTATCAGTGTTGAAGCACCTCCCCTACAAAGACAGGCTGAGGGAGCTGGGCTTGTTCAGCCTGGAGAAAAAAAGGCTGCAACGTGACCTCATTGCAGCCTTCCAGTACCTAAAGGAAGCCTACAGACAGGAGGAGAGTCAAATCTTTGAAAGAGTAGATAATGGCAGGAGAAGGGGAAATGCATTTAAGCTGGGGGAGGGAAGATTTAGGTTGGATATCAGGGGGGATGTTCTTTACCAAGAGAGTGGTGAGGTGCTGGAACAGGCTGCCTAGAGAGGTTGTGGATGCCCCATCCCTAGAGGTGTTCATAGCCAGATTGGATGGGGCCCTAGGCAACCTGGTCTGGTATTAGATATGGAGGTTGGTGGCCCTGTCTGTGGTAGGGGGATTGGATCTTGATGATCCTTGAGGTCCCTTCCAACCCCTTGGGTCCCTTAAGCTTACTCTCTCCCCTGTTTTCCTAATGGCTGGGTACTCCAGGTACACAATCTTAAGAAAGTTTTACATTTGTTAATTACTAAATTAACAAATAAATTCTGACGCTTGTTAATTCATAGTCTATCTCGTTGCCAGCCCATCGCCAACCTGATGTTTCCAAGATGTCTCAGTGCTGTTGTTATCATATTGATGTAGTGATTCTCTCCAAGTCCTCTTCCATTCTGTCCAAAGAACACTTTCTTTGTTAAACAGTGCATGAGGGGGTGCCAAGTCTTCCCAATGCTTCTTCAGGCAGGCATGTTTTTATCTCATGCAGTGTGTATGAGCATGAACTGCTAGCTATCCATGTATATTATTTACTTTTCTTTAAATTTTCTATCTCTTAGGTCTTGTATGTCCAGCACCAAAAATTACTATTCTTACAATATAGAACCCTATTGTTATCCTTGTCAAGGGTTTTTGATTTGTTGAAGTCATTACAGTGAGATTTCTAACTTTTTTCTTTAACTCAAGGCTCAGAGGTATTCCAGATGGCTGGACAGACAAAAGCTCCAGTCTTCATACTGTAAGAATCCTTCTTTGTTTTTTTTGGCTCAAAGCTTGCTTCCTGAGGTATTTCTTGTGATAAGACTGACTTGTCTAGAAGATGAGTGATGGGTGTTGTTGTGTGGCAATCAACATCACTGTGTGGACAATTTTAGCTGCTTGCCTTTGGAAGATAGTGCTCAGGACTGTTTACTGGCGGAAGATCTAGCCTGTGACCAAATAACTCCTGTTTGCTATGGGAGGCTAGGGGATGATGCCATTGTATCCTGTGAAGGCAAGATGCAAGTGGGCACCTCCCTGCTCCCTCTTATCTGCTGGCAAGGCCAGGGAGATAGGAACAAAGGAGTTTCCGCTGAGATCCCAAAGCCAGAAGCTGCCACTCCAACAGAAGCTGACTCAACCACCTTGGGTTTGAGCTGTCACTCAAAAGAGAGTTGACTCAACCACTTTGAAAGCATTGAAAAGGGGCCATCATCACCCTGGTCATCACTGTTGCCATTGTTGTCGTCAACAGACCCACCACTACTGAAGATCAAAGACTGAACTATGAACCTCGCTGGATCCATGGTGGTGATATCTCCCTCTTGCTGCCTACAAAGACTCTTTGCTTCTTCTTTCCTATCTTTTCTATCACCCTCCTTCCCTTCCCCATTACCCTAGTTCATAATAGTATCCGTCCTCCCCTTCCCCATTTCCCTAATTAAGATTTGTAATAAACTGGTCGGACCAACATTTGAACCGTTGTTTCTTAATCTCATGCCGGGTATACAGATATTAAAAGAACCTCCTCTGCTTCCTATAAATCGGAGCAAGACACGTACCTATAAATCAAGACCATCTTATGCAGAAAAAAACCAAAACATTCAATTCCCACTACCCTTAAGGAGATTGTGACTGTATTCTCAGGGACCAGGGAGTTTCTTTCAGTTCATTTGCTACTGAATTTCTAAGCAGCTCTTGATCTGCATGCATGAAACTGTCGAGTAGCTTAGAAGTTCTTCATGCCTATTTTTTTTTTTTTTTTTAATTTGTTTGTTAATAGTCTACAGGGAATCCCAGAGATCCAAGCAAAAGTACTGATTGTGGTCCCTTGACTTTCTGAGAGGAACAGTTTTTTTATTTCTTCTCATGTAGATTTTGTCATTCTGCAAAATCAAGGGAAACAAAAGAGCTGTTCTGATTTTTCTTTGAATAAAACAATTAAAAGCCCTTGAGAGAAATGGTAGCATTTTGAGTTAAGAGAAACATTGTTATTATTGTTATTAAATGTTAAGACAAATGTTACTGACAGTGCTACTGCCAAATTGATGAAGTACTGAATACTGTCTGAATAGCCAGGCCCAGAGGATGGTCATCAGTGGCACAAAATATAATTGGAGGCCAGTAACAAGCAGAGTGCCCCAGGGGTAAACAAGTGTTCAGTCCTATTCAACTTCTTTACTAATGATCCAGATGATGGGTCAGAGCAAGTTTGAAGATGATACAAAGATGGGGAGGGTGATAGATAAGACAAAGGATTGTGCAGCTATTCAGAGGGACTTTGACAGGATGGAGAGATGGTGTAAGAGACTATTTCCAACAGATGGACAAGTAAGTCTTAGACAGTCTGCACTTGTTTCAAATCTTACTGTTGGACAACTTCAACAGGGCAAGTCCAAGAAATCTTTTGTCTGAAGACTTACAGGCCAGGGGCAGTAAGAGATAAGTTGCTGCCAGAGATAAGCATCTGCTAAATGGCCAATGAGCTGCCTTTTGTGGGCACATCTCTAGGGAGGTAACCATCCGAGAGGATCTGCATGCCCACAGGTATTGCATGTGATTCTGATAGGAATGCCACACTGGCAGAAGAAGAGGATTTTAAAAGGCACTTACAACCAAGAAGGAGTGTGCCCAATATTGTACGCCTTGTGGTACGATACTTGCCTGCTGCCTGATTCTCCTCGGGCTGCTACCTAAGACCTGTGTGTTTCTCCTGGACC